CCTATTTCGTTAAGTGAGTGTGTTCTCATTCTTTGGTGAGTGCGAGTCTGAGAGGGAGACCGATTGGGCAAATCTCTTTTCTCTGGTGAGTGATTTATGTTGTGAGGTGTTTTGATCAGTAGAATTCATTGTGAGAGGGGAAGAAACTCAGGGGAAGTTTCGGGTGTGTGTAGTAAGTACGATTCTTACAACAAAAAGTGAGTTGTACTTGACTATCTTTCTCAAGTGAATAGAACTGATTAGTTTTCCGCATTACTCTTTGAGTGATCAACTTTTTCAATAACCAATAATATTAAAACATGTTGTAGACTGTCACAAATAAGAAACGATAAGGGAAACGAAGAGAATTGACAAAATATTTTTATTTCTTTTTTTTTTTGGATATTATAGTTAATAAATACATATCTTTTGGTGCAATAACAAAAATGAATAACTACTCCAAAGAAATGGTGACTGTAATGAAAGATTTGTTTTTTGGATAATCAGGGTGGTAACCCGAACCTTCGTCCCGACTACATCTACCCGGACCAGTCTTTGTATATGGATAATTTTGGTCCAGAAATTACATCTCTCACCACCGGTGAAATCAAACCCACCCGATAGTTTAGCTGACTGTACCTCTTGGATCCTTAATCCCCCGCATGAATGATCGTAGTCGCTTCCCTGCTTGCACGGATCCTACTCCAAACGGCTGTGGAAGCAATTTGGAAAGAACATAATAACTGTCTATTTCGAGACCTTGCTAAGCCGCCATTAGTCCTCGGTAGAAAGATTGACAAAACTATAAGAAATGTTCTTCTGCATGAAACCATCCGGAACCGAAGTTCCATCTGATCGCCTCTACAAGATTGGTATTACCTCGAGATATCCTCTTAACACTTCATCGATTAATTTTTGTATGTTATTCCCTCTATCGGGACCTTTATTTTTCACTTGCCATGGATATCTATAGCATTGTGGATGAATGCCGTTTTGTAAATTATTATATATAATATGATTCACATTTTCATAAAAAAAAAAGTCAAACGGGAAAAATAGCATTAGAAGATTCTTACACGAATTTTAAATTTTACATTGAACTACATCAAAATTCTAAATGATCAAAATCCGTCACCAAATCCTGAAATGTGTTACAACGTCTTATGCGACACCAAAATTCTAAATGATTAAAACATCGATGTTTTAATATTCTCCAATTTCCATCAATGGATATACTGACGTTGTTGTACACATCATCAAATTATTTTTAAATATTTACCATATAAATTTGTTACGTGACAGAAATAAAAAAAAAATAAAATAAAAATAAAAGGTAAAAGGCAAAAAAATAAAAAATACATACACATACATGTATACATATATAAATATACATTCATATATACACATATATATATATATACATATGCATACACAATAATAAGTAAAAAATAAAAAAATAAAAAATATATACGCATACATATATAAATATATAGTTATAAACACATTTACGCACATATATACATATACATTCATATATACACACATATACATATATAAACACATATACGCACATATATACATATACACACAAATACATATATACATAAATTGTAACAACTCAGTCAAAAAAAAAAAAAAATCGGAACGGCCGTTCTGGAAAACCCAAAACGGACGGACCGCGTAGAAACAGACCGTCCGTTCCAGACAATCTCGGAACGGACGGACCCGACTGTCGGCAGTGACCCAAGTCGTGGCTTTCGTCCGGACCGACCCGAAAACGACCCCTGCGCACTAAATCCGACCAGAAAACCGAAACCTTTGACCCTAAAACACGATTAGGTCCACGCTGGGTCCGGGTTATGTCGAAAATACCGCCCAATCTCGTCTTTAATTAACACATCTCCCTCTTCATTCTCCTTCAACTTGGACCCGAAAATTCTCTCTCAAATTCCGAAGATTTACGCTCGAATCGGTTTCTACAGAGCAAGAGGAACATCCCCAAGCTTCCTATCTGTCACCCAGAACACGGGGTTAACCCGAGGTGAGTGAATTCGAGTTTAATTCGGAAGTCTGTTGACATGGGGTTTTGGGTCTTGAGTGATTTTGTGCAAATTTGATTTTTGATTCGTGTTTTCCATGAAATTATATGAGTTTTGATGAATTACCCATAGTGAATCATGCATGTTTGAGTGTTTTGGGTGAGATCCGAGGACCAGAACGTCCGGTCTGAGGTCAGACCGTCCGTTCTAGGTCCGCAGAAGAAAAACGCGAAGTCCAGAGGTTGAAGACGAGTCCAGACCGCCCGTTCTGACAGTCCGGAACGTCCGTTCCGAACCACTGGACCGATCGGTCTAGGGCCTAGACCGATCGGTCTGGAAAAAAAAAAGAAAAAAGAGAGTAACGGAACCGTAAAAATTTACCGTGTAGAAAATTGAAAAACTTGATAAGTCGGACCTAATATTACCTCGGCTCAAATTATGAAAAAGTGAAAAATATAAATTATACCGGAATTTCGGGCCAGGCCGGACCCCACATGGTCTGGACCCAAAATGAATAACAGGTAAGGTTAAAAACCACGGAATGAACCGAATTGGTTATTCGGGCGGACCAGAACCAGCTAAGTCATACCGGAGGTACAATTCGGTATATCAATAAAAGACTGAAAGAAAATATATAATTAAATATAAAAGAATATGCAAGCGTAAATGCATGTATGGTAGATAAACTACATAAATGCGTGTGACTGAGGTAGCTGGTATGGCACTAGCGTTAATTCGGAAGGGTTCGGATTAACGTTTAGCGCGTGATTGTAGAAATGAGCATTTGTGAATGAATGCACGATGATTGCGAGATTGCGTCTCATCTATGGGCCATCCGATCCGGGTCGGTTGCCACCCATATGGGATATGATTGTGAATATGGCGATAATACGATCGCGCCAACGTCCGAACGATCGGACGGTTATGGGCATCCCGATGATTTGCGTGGATAGCCGATTGTAGTCGGTACTATTGCGTGACGAGGAACACACGGTTCTTAGAACCGCGCCAACGTTTCCGCTAGCGACGGAGTGGACCCCGGGATATGAGTATCCCGAGGAAGAGGGCATCATATACTTGAGATTCGGGTCGATTGGGGTGTCCCGAGGAGGTGGTACGGACTTACTCTGCTAGGTTCGGGCCCAAACCTGACAAGTATTTCCGCAGCGGATGGTCGGCGAGGGAGAGTTGCAGCGATGGGCTCTCTTGTTATAGTCGATGGCGTCGGTTGTAGCAGACGTCTGGTGAGCTCCGGTATTGAGAGGTGACATCAATGTCGGAGTCGGGTGACACGCCTAGCATCGAGAGGTGACATCGATGCTAGGGTAGGGTGAGGTGTTCGGGCGGAGAAAATAAAAAGATACTTATGCCGGATTCCGAGTGGTTGCGGAGTAGATGGATTCCGAGGAGAGAGGTGGTTGTGCTACGCACATGGGGAGTACATTACCTACGCATGGTGCGCGTAGAGACGATTTGACGGACTATGTCCTGCGACTTGTCGTACGGACTTGATTGTGATTGTTCCATGCTTACTGTGACTTCCATGTTTTCAATTCCTGTTTATTATAATACTACTATATATATATATATATATATATATATAATGTGATTTCCCTGTCACCATGAGAATGGAACTCCGGGTTACGCCCAAGTTCACTCCCTAAGCAATTAGCTTAGGACGTTGTTACGCAACGTTTCAGGTCGCGAGCAGCAGTAGCCGGGGAGCGGACATCGGAGACCTGGGCAGTGCACATCTACCTATCCTGTATAATTACGTATTTTGATACATTTATAACTGGGGAACGGTTTGTATTATATTGGTGGTAGACTTTCGCGGTTTGTAATAATTTTATCACAACCACTCGACTATGTATAATTATCTCCAGAATAATGTATCATATATGTGTATGAATGTTTTCTTCCGCTCAACTCTGAAAAGAAAAGTTTTAAATTCCCACGGATTTTTGTGAAATATGAGTTTATTTTACTTGTCCATGTGACGCAACTCGTATTGCGGGATGCGGGTTTCGGACGTTACATAAATTTCCATCCTCTTGTTGTCATTTTATATAAAATTATATCGATTCATTTTTCTCGTGTAGGTGTGTATATATATAGATACATATGAATTTAAGGACGATTAATTTACGCTTTCCCACAGCATTATTACGCGAGTGTGTATATATACACACACACAAGTGGGCTTAGATCGTACATAAACAAGAATATAGACTCAATATCAAGTAAACCATTAACCTTTAGTGAAAAACAATGGCTGGAACCAGCCTGGACCTGCAATTCATCCTCGTCTCCCTCCTCGTATGGCTCCTCTCAGTTTTCTTCCTCGTTCCCTTTTTCTTCAAGAAACCCCAAAAATCAAACGTTCGCCTTCCTCCGAGCCCTCCGGCCCTACCCATCATCGGCCACCTTCACTTTCTCATCTCGTTCCCGTGGTTCAAGTCCCTTCAGAAGCTCTCCTCCAAATACGGCCCTCTCCTCCGTCTTCACGCCTTCGGCTCCTCCTTCATCGTCGTGTCCTCTGCCTCGATGGCCTTCGACGTCTACAGGACGCAAGACGTCAACTTCTCGTTCCGTCAGAATTACGTCATCGAGGACTCGATAATGTTCGGTCGTTATAGCTTCATGGCCGCGCCTTACGGTGATTACTTCAAGTTCATGAAGAAGCTCCTCGTTACAAAGCTATTGGGGCAGCAACATCTGCAGAGATCGCGTGGCCTCCGGGACGAAGAACTCGAGAGGTTTTACGTGGAATTGTCGGATAAAGCTACGAGGAAAGAGGTTATTGATGTTCATAGGGAGATTTCGAAGCTGGCAAACCGTATCATATGCAGAATGATGATGGGAAGGAAATGCTCGGAAGAGAACGGCGAAGCTGACGAGATCCAAGACTTGGTCCTCGAGTCTCTTCGCCTGCTGAAAAACGTGGCGATAGCAACCGCTCTACGTTCCCTCAAGAGATTCGGGGTGACTTCATGGTTCGAGAAGGAAGCCAAGAACATATCTCGGAGATACGATGTGTTCCTCGACAAGATTCTCAAGGAACACGAAGAAAACCCGAACAAAGAACGTAAAGACATAACGGATTTGCTCCTGGAGGCTTATCACGATGAAAACGCTGAGTACAGGCTCACAAAGAAGCATATAAAGTCGTTTCTAGTGGTAAGGTTTCATCTTTCACTACAAGTTGACCCACTTTTGTTCATCCTTGTCATGATCTGACAATGCTGCAACGTTGTTGTAGGAACTCTTCCTTGGAGGAACTAGCACTACAGCAGCAGCAGTGCAATGGACAATGTCAGAGATCATAAACCATCCAAGTATTCTTCACAAGATGAGGGAAGAAATCGAATGCGTTGTCGGGAAAGGCAGGCTGATTCAAGAAACGGATCTTCCGAGCCTCCCGTATCTGCAAGCAGTTGTGAAAGAAGGGCTAAGGCTGCACCCACCGGGAGCTCTCCTACCAAGAATATGCGAGGAAAGCTGCAAAATCGGAGGATTCGATGTGCTCGGAAGAACGACGTTACTCACGAATGTTTACGCGATAATGAGAGATCCGGATTTGTGGGAAGATCCAGAAGGGTTTTGCCCCGAGAGATTCTTGGCTTCGGCAGCTAAAGGGCCGGAAGATAACAACAAGGAACATGCCATGAATTTCCTTCCTTTCGGGAGCGGAAGAAGAGGGTGTCCTGGAACAAGCTTGGCTTACGTTTCCATGGGAATGGCCGTAGGGACGATGGCTTATTATTTCGATTGGGAAATCGACGGAGACAAGGTCAACGTTGAAGAAACTGGTACGATGACTAAGGACATGGCTCATCCACTCAAGTGCACTCCTGTTGTCCGGTTCAACCCATTAGCTTCTATTCCCTAGAAACCTACTTTGAGTCTGTGTTTCGTTCGAATATGTTCATGCTGGTCGTGTGTTTTCAAGAATTTCTGCTGAATCAAATAAGACATGGCTGTGTATCTTCCATTGCTCCAAAATCCGAACACTTGTAATAAATTAAGGACCCTTCTCTTTAAGACATGGCTGTGTATCTTCCATTGCCCCATATAATTAATTAGTCAAAAAAAGTTAATTTCTTCGTAAGTTTTATAAAATTATAAAATAATATTGATAAATGGCCCCAATAATAAAATTATGCTTATTCATATGAAATTATACATATATTATTATTGCCCCCACATAAAAATAGTTTTGGGTCCGCCATATGATGATCGTTCTATAAGTGACCAACATAACTAGAATACATCAAAGTATGTTCTACAGCTTCGACAGTTGGTGTGACGACCCGATTTCGATTATTCGAATTTATTGTTGTTTGAAATCAATTTTTTTTTTAATTTATTGTTGTTCGAAATCAAAATTTTGACCCTACTTTCATCTTGACGTAACAATCGAAAATTTGATTTGTAAACAAAAAAAAGTTATTAATCGAGATTGTTAATTTCGAATAATTTAATGAATCAAATCAGATCGTCACAATCTGAATTCTTATTTAACTCCTAATATAACTGGGCTTGTACAAAAACTTTATTTCCAATATTCACTTCCAATCTTCTATGAGGTGACAAAAAAAATCAATCTCTATAAGGTTGGAAATTATAAGGATTAAGTTTTTTGAGTATTTTTATAAATGAATACCAAAGGCTATATTTTAAAATTAAAAATAATGCCATTAAAATGGTATATTGTATATAAGATTAGAAAAACATTTTGATTCTTTGGGCGACTCATTGTCCATGTGTCATCACATGGTTGATTGTTTCTTAGAATACAATGCATCAGACTAAACAAATTAATCTGAAAATCCAGTTATGTATATAACAAAATAAAATAAAATAAAATAAAATTGGAATTAAATAAAAAAACAAATTAAGTGTTCGTATGCTATATATATATATATTTATATATATGGAACTTTCTCCGGTTAAAGTTACTCTCTCAAGTCAACTTGAACAAGTTTATAAAATCTAATTTGGTCAACTTGACTCTCTTTCAAAAATACATGTTGCATGAATCCAGATCTAAGCATACGATCACAAGATCGTACGATACATTATATACAGTCGACGAGAGCCACGTGGGGAGAAATAGGAAATTTGTTTTTTTATAACCGCATATCTTGGAACGAAATCAAGACTAATCTCGAGATCGAAAGTAAAATATGTGATTAGAATTACGCTCCTCTCCCCAATTTGAGATTCAAACTCGCGACGGAACAAATGTTTTACATCTCTATTTTATCGATTGAGCTATCCAAATTTAATTAGACAGGAAATTTGTACATTATATAATCAATTAATACATAAATATATATTTCATTTCTTATCTCTCTACTTGAAAACAAAGAGAGTTGCCTAATATAATTAAAGTGTGTAATTCTCAAGAATAAAAAAATCGATTATTGTATGATAACGGAATAGTAGAGTATGCTAATGTTAGGTTTATATAAAATGATCTAACTAGAATGAAAAAGGATGAATATTAAGAAATTTAAAAAAGAAAATGTTTCAACGTACAATTACAAAAAAAAAAATGTTTCAACGTACCCAATATAATGCACCTTTTTTCTAGAAAAACGGGCGAGCTACATTTGTTAGGGTTTTGCTAGTAAATTCTCTAAACTACCCTCAATATTAATGTAAATTATTAAGAATATTCTCATTCTCTTTATATATATATATATATTATTCTTTTGTTAAATATCTTAATAAATTGTCTATACCACCATCACGTAAGAATATTTATGAATATTAAATATTTTGATTTTGTTTTTGTTATTTAAGCGATGAAAAGTAATTTTTCATTATTTAATAAAATTGAGATTAATCTTTTGCAATAAGATTATGAAACAATGATATAATTTAAGAATATTTGAATACAATATTATAATTGTTAAAACATTTTAAGAAAAATCGCATATAAATACCTAAACTTTTATAAAAATATCAAATAAATATTCAACTATAAAACTTTGATATAAATACCTAATTTTTCAAAAATCCTATATAAATACCTAAATTTTTTAAATTTTTTTAAATAAATCTAAAATTTAGGTATTTCTGAAATAAAAATAATCAACGTGGTTAATGAAATAAAAATAATCAACGTGAAGTTTAATTTCATCTTCCTCTTGTCATTTATTGTCACAATATATTTGTATAGGTGTATTGGTACGGTTAACCAAAACCTTAAACCGAAATTGAAACTGACACCCGAAAAAGGAACTGTGGAACTTAGATTCCATTAGCAGTAAAAAAAAAAAAATCTCAGTACCCGAAAAACCAAAGTATCTTTTAGAACGTTAAGATGAACTTTTTATGTTAAGCAAAATCTCACGAAACTCTGATCTATTCAAATTCGTAATTTATGTATTTGCTACTGTTGCAACAATCGTTCTAACATTGATAAGATCCCGCTGATGTTCAATCTTTTAAAAACTCACCATATGTAGATACACATTTATTAGTTAATTTGAGGTATTCATAGATTTGTTTTTACCAAAACCTAAATTAATCACCCACTATTTGGTGGTCTAATGGTCCAGTGTTGAGAGATGACAAAGTCACTTTAAAGTTATGAGTTCGATTCCATTAGTGGGTAGAATGTAACACAATTAATTGCGTGACTAAAGATTGACTCCGTGTCTAGGGGATTAAGTGGAGCGAATGCCCAGTGAACCTCCTACTTATAAAATAAAAAATAAAGAAAAAAACCTTAAAAAAATCAAGATTCAAATCTCCATAATTTATAAACTAGTAGTTTTTTAATGATTGATATGACATTTTGGTTTCTCATCTAGAGAACAATGGTCGGTGTGGACGTAGACAAAGGATGACTTCTGATAGGCTTTTAGGTAGGAAGGACACTTTGGAAACGAATCGAACGTATCGAAATGAGAAAAATATAATGGTTGTGTAGGTATTAGATTGTACATTCGAAGATAATCTAAAAATATTGATTGACCTACTCATACAAATAAAATGTATCTATCTTTTCACTTGTATATAACCAGAGAACTTCAAAATTCACCGTGTTCGCTTTGGTGTAGTTTTAGATTAAATAATCTCTTATTAAGTACTTTTCGAGATTTATGCAAATAAGAACAAAACACATCTAAAGGTATCGTGTTGATCCATGAAAATAGTTTTAACATCCTTAACGAGTATGAACGTCACAATCGATCTTGTAAAAACTCATGATATGGGACATATATATTTTTTCCACGATATGGGACTTATATTTATTAGTTAATTTTATTTTAGGTATTCAAGGATTTGTTCCTGTAAATACTTAAAAAAAACAAAATTTAACTATCCATAATTCGTATAAACTAATATTGTTTTAACTATAATCCCGCAACAACCCATGATATGCTGACATGTAATTATGAGTTGATTTTAGTATTTTATGGATTTCATTAATGACGTGGGACATATATTTATTAGTTTTTTAACAATCAATCTTATGACAACTCATGATACGAGGATATATAATGCATCATTCTTTTAATATTTGCGTAGATAAGAACACGCAACCAAACTTAAAACTTAAAAAAAGAATAGAAAAATCGAATAAACGCAAATGCTTTTTGCGTGATTCTCTGAAGTCAACTCAAACGAATTTTGAAAACATTTGTGCATGATTCGGACCTCAGCGTAAGATCGGAAGTTATAACATATCGTACACCCGATGACAGCCACGTGGGGTGAAAAACTATTAATATATATATATATATATATA